CCAGCTTTTGCTCAGTCTCTCATTTGCTGTCATTTCCTTCTGATCTTGGCCATTTACTTATGGTTATGCTCAGGATTTCTACAGGAAAGGACCTTAAAGGTTGCAAAGAAGGAGTCCATGTTGTTCTAGGTTTCGTATGTGCTTAGTAGTGTATGTTGTATAGGGCGGGATGAGTGTTTTTAGGTAGAGTTCTGTTTGTTGCTGCAGTCTTCCTGGTTTCTTTCTGGGGCGGAGGGAGGTGGTTCTTGCTTTGTGTAACTCTTTTTTCTGTCTGCATTTCTGTTCTCTTGAACTCATGAGGAAAAAGAATGAATGCTGTGGGGCTGGGGGGGGGGGGTTGAGGGGCTTCAGCCCCCCCCCCCCCAAAATTCTCATGGTGGTCCGCGAGAAGGCCTTACTGGTGCATTATTTAAATTGTTATGTTTATTGACATCATGATCTGATCACCATGCTCAATCTACCCCATATGCATGGGGGTATTGGGGTAACGATACAAAAGGTTTGCTAGGGTAATGTATTGTCGAAGGCTTTCATGGCTGGAATCACTAGGTTCTTGTGGGTTTTTTCGGGCTATAGAGCCATGTTCTAGAGGCATTTCTCCTGACGTTTCGCCTGCATCTATGGCAAGCATCCTCAGAGGTAGTGAGGTCTATTGGAACTAGGACAATGGGTTTATATATCTGTGGAATGGCTGGGGTGGGGCAAGGAGCTAGGGTAGACCCTCTTTCACTCAGACTCAGCCCCCCCCCCGAATCGAAATCCTGGCTATGGGCCTGCTGTGGGGTTTTCCACAGACCCCGAGCTGAAGGGAAACCTCCCCAAAGGCCCTGGGCACAGCAATGTCCATGTGTAGATGGGTGTCGAAAGTAACGCCTCCATTCCATGCGGAGCCACAATCTGTTTATTGATTCCACGCATGTTCTCAGAAGAGTTCAGAGTAACCAGCACAGTGCCATATCAGAGGAGCGGAGAAATACGTACATCCCTGGACTCAAAAACTGCCAAACCATCAGGGGCCTCACCATGGAAACCCTAGAGCTGGAAGAGACCTGGTGGGCCACCCAGCCCAACCCCATTCTGCCAAGAGGCAGGGAAATCCCATTGTAACAACGATACATTCTGCGCCCCAAACCATCCATCCCAAATATTCACGGAGTCAAGGAAACGTACGGAAGCAGAGGCTACGACAAATCGGTGACTTTCATTGCTCCCCCGGAGCAATGAGGAATAATACTTGCTGAGTGGAATCATGGCAAACCTTGAATGGAACTTGTAGGGAAAGGCATGGAGGTGGAGAGCGCTTTGGGAGATTCCAGGAGCCGTGGCCGCTGCTCGGAGTGCCACCAGCCATTACCTGCCGGCTGGTCAAGAAGCCTTACATCCTATCCCCGGAGAGGAGGGAATGCCTCGAGAACAGGGCCGTATAGCCCGGAGAAACCTACAACGACCCACTCTCCCTTTTGGCGTATATATTCCTTTATTGAGGAGATGTATACCCCACCTTTCTCGATCCCGAAGGGGACTCAAGGCGGTTTAAACCAGAGGCAGTAATTCAATGCCTTCAACAATCCCAAAGTTAAACAAACATTCAGTGCCAGATCTCAACGAGGTTTCCCCCTGACTAACGAAACATGTAATTTAGAGAACCGTCTGACCGTGTGGACTTCTATAGGGATGTAAAGTGGCTTCATCGGCTGGAAAATATGTTGTTCTGAGGTCAAAAATGAGACATGAGGCGCCGGGTAATTGATGAGTTTGCCTCCTACGCACATTCTTATATCTTCGGATATACATTGGATGAATACCGTTCTGTTCTCTTTTCAGGAGTTGTGCCTAAGGAAAGGGTCACCAAGGTCTGTGTCAGAATGTATTTGAAAAGCAACATGGCTGCGTCTTTTAGGATATGTTGCATGACTTTTTCTTCTCTTCCAGTTTTTCATTCTTCTTCTTCAGCTCTTGGTTCTCCCTTTCCAGACGCTGGTATTCTTCAATCTTTTTTCGGTCCCTGGTGAGCATCACGTCAGTGTAAAAGGGGGCCTGCCTGTTCTTTTCCAGCATGGCATCGATCATGCGCAGCAGCTCCCTCACCTGCTCTTCCCTCTCCTGGCCTTCAGCCTTGTTGTTGAAAGCAAGGTAACGGCCCCCGCATCGGTCAATCTGCTCCCGAAGAGAAGCATCTCTTTCATTTAAGAATGTTTTCAAAGGCTTTCCTTCCAGATCATCTTTGCGGGTGAACAGAACGATCAAATAATTCTTTGCCTCGTGGCTAAAAATGTCTTGGATTATTTGAGCTACGTCTTTCTCCTCCTGAGTGAAAAGACCCACTTGCATGACTTGGATGATGGCATGTGGACCTGGATGGCACCATTTGACGCACTTTTCAACTTCTTTGGCAGTTTCTTCCTTGGTTACATTGCCGTCAAAAAACCCAGGCGTGTCCACAACCACAATTTTCCTGCCATCAATCACAGTCTCCTTCTTGTCACACGTTTTTATCACTGATGCGGGTGAGATGGTAGATCTAAACTTCTTCTGCCCCAGGATGGAGTTTCCTGTGGCGCTTTTTCCGGATCCGGTTTTCCCCACGAGGACAATCCTCAGTTCAGGGGCTAAAACAAGGGAGGGAGGGAAACAAGAGAAGAGGCTGTCAGGCAAGGGGAAGTCACGTGAACTAACCTGACCCACTGTTACTAACTAGAACCCAAGAAGCAAGGTGGTCGACCAAGGAGTGATTCTGCTGGAATAGGGGTCCCCACGAGGCCACCCCCTCCCAGGCTTCAGGGGAGCTCTCTTCTCCTTCCCCTGGCTGTGTTTCTCTTGGAGCTCTCCCTCCTTGCGCTTGGGCAGCTCAGCCAGGACGGGCAGAAAGGCCTCTCTCTGCAGAGTGCCTGTAACAAGGGTTTTCTACCCCAGGGTCCCAGCTCCAGCTCATGCCTAGTAGAGGGGGCCCGCTGGAAAGGTGTCTCATGGCACCCTCTGCCGTGACCTATTATTTATTTAAAACACTTATATTCCGCCTTTCTCACCCCAAAGGGGACTCAGAGCGGAGCACAGCATATACATGGCAAAGATTCAATGCCTGGAGACAATACATAAACATTAAAAAACATTTATCTAAATATTAAAATGCACCATTTAAAATAACACCATTTAAAGCCGTCCTAGCCATCCGCATCAAATGCAACTGGCCCTGTCATCTTTCCCATTGTGGCTTCATTGCCCTGTCCCGAAAGCTTGGTCCCACAGCCAAGTTTTGATCATTCTTCTAAAGGACAGGAGGGAGGGGCCGACCTGATCTCACCAGGAAGGGAGGTCCATAGCCGGGGAGCAATCACCGAGAAGGCCCTGTCTCTCGTCCCCACCAATCGTGCCTGTGACAATGGCGGGACGGAAAGCAGGGCCTCTCCGGTACATAGAGGGAGATGCGTTTGGACAGGTAATTTGGGCCGGGGCCGTTTAGGGCTTTATAGGCCAAAGCCAGCACTTTGAATTGTGCCCGGTAGCAAACTGGCAGCCAGTGGAGCTGGCGTAACATGGGAGTTGTATGCTCCCTGTATGCCGCCCCAGTTATTAACCTGGCTGCCTCTCGTTGGACTATTTGAAGCTTCCGAGCAGTCTTCAAAGGCAACCCCACGTAGAGTGCGTTGCAGTAGTCTATTCTAGATGTAACGAGAGCGTGGACCACCGTGGCCAAGTCTGACTTCCCAAGGTACGGGCGCAGCTGGCGCACAAGTTTTAATTGTGCAAACGCTCCCCTGGCCACCGCTGCAACCTGGGATTCCAGGCTCAGTAATGATCCAGGAGAACTCCCAAGCTGCGAACCTGTGCCTTCAAGGGGAGTGTAACCCCATCCAGCACAGGTTGCGACCCTATACCCTGTTCGGCCTTGCGACTGACCAGGAGGACCTCTGTCTTGTCTGGATTCAACTTCAATTTGCTCGCCCTCATCCAGACCGTCACAGCGGCCAGGCACCGGTTCAGGACTTGGACAGCCTCCTTAGCATCTGGTGGAAATGAGTGATAGAGTTGGACATCATCTGCGTACAGATGGCATCGAACTCCAAAACTCCGGATGATCTCACCCAGCAGCTTCATGTAGATGTTAAACAACATGGGGGACAGTATAGAATGGTTGTGGGTCCGAGCAGGAGTCCCCCAGCAACACCTTCTGGGTACGACCCTCCAGGAAGGACTGGAGCCACTGCAGAACAGTCCCTCCAAGACCCATCCCTGCAAGGCGCCCCAGAAGGATACCGTGGTCTACGGTATCGAAGGCCGCTGAGAGGTCCAGGAGAACCAACAGGGACACACTCCCCCTGTCGAGCTCTCTGCGGAGATCATCCACTAAGGCGACCATGGCTGTCTCAGTTCCATGTCCCGGTCTGAAACCGGACTGTGACGGATCCAGATAATCAGTTTTGTCCAAGAATCCCTGGGGCTGCGAGGCAACCACTCGTTCCAAGACTTTGCCCAATGGAGGACCCTGGCAGACCGTTGCACCCACCTCTGCCATGGGGCAGGGAAGGGCTTGAGTGGCCCCACAGAAAGGCCAAGGGCTGCATGGCTCCATGGGCAGAGCTGCGGCTTTGCTGAGCCATTTGGGGTTTGCACCCTTTGTGAGGAATGTCTTATAAGAAACAGGTAAAATGTACACATTTTGGTAGAGAATGAAGATAGGTTTGACTGGGTCCAATGAAGGCCCCATCTACACTGCCATATAGCCCAGTATCTGATACCGGATTATCTGCTTGGAAGTGGATGATATGAACCTATGCTGTCATATGATCCAATTCCAAGCAGGGAATGGGGATTTTATCCGGCAGTGCAGATGGGGCCTGAGCTTTTGTCGTGAAATCCTCACCGTCACTGCATTCATCCATATTCTTAAAGAGATGAGAAGTCAGATTTCAGTGCTCAAGATGTCTCGATCTGAAACAGAAAGGAAACAGGAAATCAGCAAAAGCCAGGAAGGGCTGAAGGGCTGGAGGCAAGGCACTTTGGCTTCTCATTCAGCAGCAAGGCCCAGCTACACAAATCCCCAGCTGAGAAGTTACGCTGCTTCTTCTAAAAGGAGGAGAACCTCAGGCTTGGAGAGGCTCCAAGAGAAGACATGGTGCGCTTGAGGTGCAATGCAGCCATCCTTTCTGGGCAACACCTGAATCCAACATACAGACCGTGAGTGCCACCCAATGTATTCCAGGTGCAGAATTTGCCTGAAGAACACCTGTGCTCACTGGTCAGTGGATGGAGCATTTAGCTGTAGCTCGGCTGCTATAGAGGGATCTCAATGCAGGCAATGGCTGGGCAGGACAACAGGCAACAAAAGGCCAAACAAAGACTGGTAATAATCAGAGTTCAAAGTCACTGGCCACAGAAAAGTAACTTCCTTTGAGACCCAGGTGGGTGCTGTCTTACGCAAAGCTGTTGGTTCCTTTCTTATATGGCAGGGGACACTGGATTTCCCAAGAAGGGTGACTTGAGCCCCATCTACACTGCCATACAATTGAGTTTGAACTGTGTTATAATGGTCGCTGAAGACGCCTATAACGCAGGTTGAGTTGCATTGAACTACACTGCCATATAATGTACTTCAATGCAGT